GTTTTTAAATGGAAAACTGTTCCGGACGTCGTAGCGCACGCAGGAATGCAAATCAGCGGCTGTGTCGGAAGTACTGTGACATTTTAATAATGCTAACCTTCTGCTTCAACTGAGCTGAATAAACAGAATTTTCCAGAAATGCCAGTAAACAATTGAGGCCGGGAGTTGGACGTCTCTTTTCAATCAATATTTATGGACCCGTTCTACTTACAGACTTTCTGCTGATTTTTGTTTTGACGGTCGTCTTTATTTTAGGAAGTTTATTTTAAAGGATAAGTGCAATTCTGCAACAAACCCATATTTTATGCCGCCTGCCTCGCTCCCCCCCAGTCCCGTCCGCCGCCTCGCTCCCCCCCCCAGTCCCGTCCGCCGCCTCGCTCCCCCCCAGTCCCGTCCGCCGCCTCGCTCCCCCCCCCCCCAGTCCCGTCCGCCGCCTCGCTCCCCCCCAGTCCCGTCCGCCGCCTCGCTCCCCCCCCCCAGTCCCGTCCGCCGCCTCGCTCCCGCCCCCCCAGTCCCGTCCGCCGCCTCGCTCCCCGCCAGTCCCGTCCGCCGCCTCGCTCCCCCCCCAATCCCGCCCGCCGCCTCGCTCCCCCCCCCAATCCCGCCCCGCCGCCTCGCTCCCCCCCCAATCCCGCCCGCCGCCTCGCTCCCCCCCCCAATCCCCCCGCCCGCCGCCTCGCTCGCTCCCCCCCCAATCCCGTCCGCCGCCTCGCTCGCTCCCCCCCCAATCCCGTCCGCCTCCTCGCTCGCTCCCCCCCCCAATCCCGTCCGCCTCCTCGCTCGCTCCCCCCCCAATCCCGTCCGCCGCCTCGCTCGCTCCCCCCCCCCCATCCCGTCCGCCGCCTCGCTCCCTCCCCCCCCCCAATCCCGTCCGCCGCCTCGCTCCCCCCCCCCCCAATCCCGTCCGCCGCCTCGCTCCCCTCCCCCCCCAATCCCGTCCGCCGCCTCGCTCCCTCCCCCCCCCAATCCCGTCCGCCGCCTCCCTCCCTCCCCCCCCCAATCCCGTCCGCCGCCTCGCTTGCTCCCTCCCCCCCCCCATCCCGTCCGCCGCCTTGCTCGCTCCCTCCCCCCCCCATCCCGTCCGCCGCCTCGCTCGCTCCCTCCCCCCCCCCAAATCCCGTCCGCCGCCTCGCTCGCTCCCTCCCCCCCCCAATCCCGTCCGCCGCCTCGCTCGCTCCCTCCCCCCTCCAATCCCGTCCGCCGCCTCGCTCGCTCCCTCCCCCCTCCAATCCCGTCCGCCGCCTCGCGCGCGCGCTCCCTCCCCCAATCCCGTCCGCCGCCTCGCTCGCTCCCTCCCCCAATCCCGTCCGCCGCCTCGCTCGCTCCCAATCCCGTCCGCCGCCTCGCTCGCTCCCTCCCCCAATCCCGTCCGCCGCCTAGCTCGCTCCCCCAATCCCGTCCGCCGCCTCGCTCGCTCCCCCTCCCAGTCCCATATGCCTCACTCCCCGTATGCCTCACTCCCCCAATCCCGTATGCCTCACTCCCCCAATCCCGTATGCCTCACTCCCCCAATCCCGTCCGCCGCCTCGCTCGCTCCCCCCCCAATCCCGTCCGCCGCCTCGCTCGCGCCCCCCCCCCAATCCCGTCCGCCGCCTCGCTCGCTCCCCCCCCCAATCCCGTCCGCCGCCTCGCTCGCTCCCCCCCCAATCCCGTCCGCCGCCTCGCTCCCTCCCCCCCCCAATCCCGTCCGCCGCCTCGCTCCCTCCCCCCCCAATCCCGTCCGCCGCCTCGCTCCCTCCCCCCCCCCCCAATCCCGTCCGCCGCCTCGCTCGCTCCCTCCCCCCCCCCCCCAATCCCGTCCGCCGCCTCGCTCGCCCCCCCCCCCCCCAATCCCGTCCGCCGCCTCGCTCGCTCGCTCCCCCCCCCCCCAATCCCGTCCGCCGCCTCGCTCGCTCCCCCCCCCCCCCCCCAATCCCGTCCGCCGCCTCGCTCGCTCCCCCCCCAATCCCGTCCGCCGCCTCGCTCGCTCCCTCCCCCCCATCCCGTCCGCCGCCTCGCTCGCTCCCCCCCCCCCCCCATCCCGTCCGCCGCCTCGCTCGCTCCCCTCCCCCAATCCCGTCCGCCGCCTCGCTCGCTCCCCCAATCCCGTCCGCCGCCTCGCTCGCTCCCTCCCAGTCCCGTATGCCTCACTCCCCCAATCCCGTATGCCTCACTCCCCCAATCCCGTATGCCTCACTCCCCCAATCCCGTATGCCTCACTCCCCCAATCCCGTATGCCTCTCTCTCCCCCAAATCCCGTATGCCTCACTCCCCCAATCCCGTATGCCTCACTCCCCCAATCCCGTATGCCTCACTCCCCCAATCCCGTATGCCTCACTCCCCCAATCCCGTATGCCTCACTCAGTTTATACTGATCTTGGTACGATCCAAAGCTTTGAAGGGCAGAGGAGAGATCTGGGATCTAATAGATTGCTCAGCAAAGTGGACCTGTCACTGTCTATTGCAATGCAATGTAAGTGAATATTTACATTCCCTCAGATGACAAAAAAAGAAATTAAAGGGACAGTCTAAAATTAAAAAAAAAAAAAAAGTCCCCGCATATGCGTCAGTCCTGTAATCATATGCAAACATCATTTGCGCAATTTTAAAGCGTGACATATTTGGTATCTATTTACTCAGCGTAACATTATCACTTAATGCAGAAAAACAAAATATAATACCCACTTGTTTGGTAAAATATAAAACTCATTAAATTGTTTTTTTTTTAAAAAACCGCTGCACAAATATCGCGTGACTAAAAAAAAAAAAAATTGCAACACCCAACATTTTATTCTCTAGGGCCTCTGCCTAAAAATATATATATCGTTTGGGGGTTGTAAGTATTTTTCTAGCAGAAAACAATGATATAGGAGAGAAGTGTCAGAATAGGCTTGGAAGGCAACTGGTTACCCACCTCCCGCCCGCCATATAGTAATATGATGGACGCAAGGTAGTTACCTCCTTCTATTCTCACCACGCATGCACGGCTCAGGGAGCACGCAGCGTGGCGATCGGCGGTGCACTGTGTCCCTCGGACACAACGGATCACTGATCACGGAAAGAGCTGAAGATGTCGGCTCGGTCATGTGATCAGCTGTGTCCAATCACAGCTGATCACATGCAAACAGGGAAATGCCGGTTATCGGCATTTCTCTCCCCACGAGCTGTCACACGTGTCCCCTCCGTGGAATGCCGGTAATCGGCATTCCACGGAGAGGACATGTACACTGATCATCAGGGCACTGATGATCAGTGTGCCCTGATGATCAGTGTAGCCCCAGCAGTGCCACCTGTCAGTGTCCATCAGTGCCTCGTGCCAGAGCCCATCAGTGCCACATCAATGCAACATATCAGTGCCTACCAGTGCACATCAATGCCACATATCAGTGCCCATCTGAGCTGCCTTTCAGTGTCACCCATCAGTGCCACCTATCAATGCCTATCAGTGCTGCCTTTCAGTGCCCATCAGTAATGCCTGTCAATGCCCATCAGTGTTACCTATCAGTGCCTCCTCATCAGTGTCCCCATCAGTGCCCATCACTGCAGCTTCATTAGCGCACATTAGTGAAGGAGAAAAATCACATAACAAAAACTAAGAAAAAACATTTTTTTTAAAAAAATTTTCAGTGGTTTTCGGTTTGTTTAAGAAAAAATAAAAAACCCCGAGGTGATTAAATACCACCAAAAGAAAGCTCTGTCACAAAAAAAGATAAAAATTTCATATGGGTACAGTGTTGCATGACCGCACAATTGTCATTCAAGGTGTGACCGCACTGAAAGCTGGAAATTGGCCTGTACAGGAAGGGGGTACAAGTGCCCTGTAGGCTTGTGGTTAAGGGATCTATCTGTACGAAAGTGGAATTTAGCTACAGGTGGGGGGTCTGGGGGGGTTGGACAAGCCTCTGCATTTGTATGTGTTGCATACTCAGACAGTGAGATCTCTGGTCTTGAAGTGTTACTAAACCCAGGACCACTATATCTGGTCTCCCACAGTACACACAACATTGAAATGCAATTATAGTAAATATAAACTGCTAAATACCTTTTTTCATCAGTAGTTAGAGCAGTCTTGTGACTTCTATCAGTGTCCAGCTGAGCACTGATTAAAGCTTGTAGGAGTTTTCATTCTCTCCTGAGTGTCCTATGAGGCTGCATAACCCCTGACCCTCTGTCTGGACAGCACTGATTGGCTATGTGCTGATCACATGCTCTTTCCCAAGAAAGAAAAACAAAAAAACTAGCCATACACCCCAAACTGAGCATGTGCAGCTTGCCCCCAAGGTTCTGTTCTATAAGCAGATGGATTGGGGACAGTAGAAAAAGGGAAGGATCAGAGAAGACGAGATCAAACCTCCTTTTTATACAATGCAGAGGATTAACCTCTTATTTTCCACAGTGAGTATAACAAGCATGCTTTACTGCATCTACAGACTGATTGTACTGCTGTGGGTTTAGTAACACTTTCATTCCTCACCACCTGGATGTTTGGGGTGATCCATCTTTTTCTGTTACATTCTCCATAATATGAGGTGAATAAACATCCATCTCTAATCTTCTACTTCTCTGCTTTCTGCACCACTCCTGTTTTCTTTTTAAATATATTCCCTCACCAGTCATGATGGGGGGCAGCTCTGACGTGACAGAAAAGCCCTGCTCCTCTGCCAAAATGGCTGCCCCCACACATGCAGAACAAGTCATGGTAAGTCAGTAACGGGGAAACGATCAGCTGCAGGGAGCATAAAGTATTGGTGTCCAGAGTCCTTCATCCTCTCATTTCATTTCTGTACAGCTTCCAGGTTTTACATCCTCCTAATGATAGTGAATTTCCTGTCTTCACAGGTCGCCTCAACTGGTGGACACAGGTGGACCCGTCATACCAGAGGCTCCTCCCTTTGGCAACGACAGGCGATGGGAACTGCTTGCTGCACGCGGCCTCTCTTGGTGAGTCTGCGTTTTATAGAACCGGAAACCAGAATTCAAAGCCTTCAGTCCCTGACTGTTCTCGCCTTCTTGTTTCAGGGATGTGGGGCTTTCATGACAGAGACCTCATGCTTCGCAAATCTCTCTACACTTTGATGGACAAGGGTGTGGAGAAAGAGGCGCTGAAGCGGAGATGGCGGTTTCAGCAAACTATGCAGAATAAAGAGGTATGGACGGGCACTTTCGGTTGGTGAGGTTTTACATTTGGTCCATATGTAAGTCACGATGGAATAGATTCCTTCAGCAGTTGTGGGATATGTGAAAGAATGGGGTGGAGTACAGTGGCTCCGCGGCATCCGTACATTTCCCAAATTTTTACCCAACCTTTACAACCTGGTTAACCAGATCTTGACCGACTACAGCGCGGCCTTCCAGTTCTAGGAGGGCGTCCTATAGATGTCCTTCCGGAACCACGCCTCTTGCGCACCCCCTAGGGCAATCATCCGGCGCTCGTGTGACCTGATCACAGATTGCAGTAAAGGGCCAATCACAGCATCCCTTTACCATGTGGTCAGCTGTGTCCACTCACAGCTGATCACATCGTAAATAGATATGCCGATTTATTGGAAGTCTTTTCCTCACACTGTCAGAGAATGAGAAGAGCCAGTAACCAGCGATTGTGATGGGATGTTTACACTGATATTCAGGACATTGATCATCAGCAATCAGAGCCAACTATCAAACACAAAAATAGTGAAGCGCTAAAGTGAATCCCTATATACACACACAGTGCATATAACATGAGACGAAAAACATACCTCATAAATAAAATAAATCTGTGGTATAAAATAATAAATAAATCAATAAAAAAAATCAAAAAAAAAAATAAAAATATATAAAAAAAATTAGAGAAAAAAAAATCTTTCCTTGCCCTTAAATGTTTCTTCAAATCAATCAGTGATTAAAAATTGAAAATCCATAATAATGCGAATAAACAGTGATACAAAAATAAAATCTGTGTTAATTAATATTCAAAAAAGAATATATATATATATAAAGTCAGAGCCAACTAGTGCTGCCTGTCAGTGCCTCCTCATCAGTGCCCATCAGTGCTGCCTGTCAGTGCCTCCTCATCAGTGCCCATCAGTGCTGCCTGTCAGTGCCTCCTCATCAGTGCCCATCAGTGTTGCCTCGTCAGTGCCTCCTCATCAGTGCTGCCTCATCAGTGAAGAAGAAAAGTTACTTATTTTCAAAATTTTATAACGTAAACAAAGAAAAACCTAGTTTTCCTCCCAGTGTCAGAATGTCCACCGCAGTCCCGCTATGAGTCGCTGATAGCCACAATCGCTAGTAAAAATTAAAAAAAAAATATATAAAAATAATGTATATATACCACCATTTGTAAACGCTATAACTGTCACGTAAACCAATTAATTTGCACATATTGGGATTTTTTTTAGCGAAGACACGGAGCAGAATACATTTTGGCCAAAATTTATAATGAAAATTTATTTTTTAAATCTTTTTACTGGACATGTTTAATAGCAAATAGTCCAAAATATTGTTTTGTTTTTTTTTTTTTCCCTCAAAATTGTCGGTCTTTTTTTTGATAGTGCAAAAAATAAAACATGCACAGGGGATCAAATACCACTGAAAGAAAGTTCTGTTCGTGGGAAAAAAAGAATGTACATTTCATTTGGGTGCATGACCGTGCAATTGTCAGTTAAAGTAACGCAGTGCCGTAGATGTCAAATTGGGAGCAGCAGACAAGTCCCAATTGACATGAATAGGACTGTGCCTGCATGCGGATGCACCCCCCTGCAGGAAAACCCGGCCTCGGTATGCCCATGTGAATGAGGCCTAAGAGTTTAAAAACAAAAATTCTACACAATTTTTTTTTTTTTTTTTTTTTATCAGCCTTCATCCAATTTGATATAGCCAGACCAAGCTTGGTATTGGAAGCATCATTTTAATGAGAAAAAAAAAGACAAGCTGCTGACTAAAATTATACCTTTATATCTGTAACACAGTTAGTCTAGGTTCACACCTATGCAGGTTGTGTTTGATGCGATTTTGACTTGTTTTTGATGCGTTCTGTGGTGGTGGGGGGGGGGGGGGTCATTTTTTATTTATTTTGTTGTTGCTAGGCAGATTTTAAAACACGAAACGCATAAAAAAACGCAATACATGCTTTTCTGCAGCGTTCCTATTGAAGTCTATAGAACCAAAAACGCAACATTTTGCGTTAAAAAAAAAAAAAAAAAAGTCCCTGATCCTTTCCAAAAAGCTGGGTGAAAATGTGGAGATGTGAACCTGTCCCATAGGACATCATGGTAAATGGACTGCTGTGCGTTTCTGCAAAACGCTGCAGAAAACACTTACGTGTGAACCTGGGGTGAATTGTTTTAAAATTAGCACTGGTCAGGAAGAAGTGTTTGTTTTTTTTTTTTCCTTTTTTTTTTTTTTTTTTTGAAGAAATGAAGTTCTAGACTGACCAAACCACCAACAAGAAAACCTTGTTTGCCCCAAAAAGCTATTGCGTTGTATAATAGGGGCGTAGAGAGTGTGTGAATTGGCTGTGGAGCGTAGCTGCTTCTTCTAGCTTCATTTACACTTTGGCGGATTCTTCCCTGAGCTCTATGATTCTGGCTGCTGGGAGGAAATACAAATGTCATTGTCCTTCTGACCGGCACCGCTGCCTTTGGCAGAGAATCCTATGGTCTGACCACCGATGTAACAAAGAGCCAGTGTCTGCGATGGTGACAAAGGGCCTGATGCATGACAAGTCTGCTAAAGGAAAAATATCATCGCATTTATTTACAAAAAAAAAAAAAAAATGACAACGTTGGAGCTGGATTTTATGGGCAACAATCATTTGAACCTTCAGCACACACAAGGCCCAAAATGTTTTCCGTAGATGTACATATCATGTCTCCTTCCTACATGACCTGAACTGGGAACATACAAAAGACTAACTCTCAAGAAACACTGTCACCTTTTCCATGACCATGTCTTTGAAAGGACCCCTCTATCCCCCCCCCCCCCCATATACTCAACTTACCTGTGCCCCCTGCAGCTGGTGCTTAGATTGGCTGTGTTGGTGACCCGAGGGAGAGGTCACATTGTCACCCATAACTGTGAGTCCCAGGTAATCTCATCAACCGCAGGCTAGGTGAACATATTCGGGTCAGAATTGGGGTGCTAGCATCTCTTTTAGCCCTGGTTCACACTGATGCGGTACGGAATTTGCAGCGTTTTCTGTGCGAATTCCGCACCGCATCAGAATCGCACCCCGTCTGTGCAAACCGATGCGGGTGCGTATGTTAAGTTAACAACACCCCGAAATCGGTGCGATGTGCAGAATCGGATCGCATAGGTGTGAATATTATTATTATACAGTATTTATAAAGCGCCAATAGTTCACTCAGCGCTGTACATTACAGAACATGTGACAGAACAATACCAATACAATGCAAAACATGAGGGGATCGAGGGCCCTGCTCTTTCGAGTTTACAATCTAGGAGGGAGGGGATGGTGGCACAGGAGGAGATAGCTGTGGGGGATGGAGTGGTAGGAAGAGTGGAGGAGGTTGGCAGGTTAGCAGGGGGTAGGGTAGGCTTCCCTGAAGAGATGGGTTTTCAGGGTGCGCCTAAAGGAGAGGAGAGTAGGTGATAATCTGATGGGTTGGGGCAGGGAGTTCCAGAGGATGGGTGACACCCTGGAGAAGTCCTGGAGGCGGGCATGGGAGGAGGAGACCAGGGAACTAGAGAGAAGGAGGTCTTGTGAGGAGCGGAGTGTGCGTGTTGGGTGGGTACTTGGATATTAGGTCGGTGATGTAGTTCGGGGCAGTATGGTGGACGGCTTTGTACGTCAGTGTTAGGATTTTGAATTTGATCCGTTGCGCAATCGGAAGCCAGTGGAGGGATTGGCAGAGGGGGGTGGCGGAGATGGAGCGGTTGGAAAGGTGGATGAGTCTGGCAGCCATATTCAGGATGGACTGAAGCGGGGATAGCCAGCGGCGAGGCAGGCCAGTGAGGAGGGAGTTGCAGTAGTCGAGTCGTGATATGATGAGGGAGTGGATGAGCTGTTTAGTGGTTTCTGGGGTTAGGAACGTGCGTACCCATGTGATCCAATTCTAGCGTGGACCCAAAATAGGGTCCTGTGCCTTTGTGGTGCGATTAAAACCATACAAAATATACGGCTCCAATCGCACCGCACACAAATCTCATGTGATGTGTACAGGGATGCGGTGCGGTTCCCGTGCGAATCACATGCGATGTACTGCACCGCATATATGTGAATCCGGGCTAAAGCAGAACTCCAGTATTTTGGTAACATGACATGCTCAGGTATCCCTCCTGTTGCTCTTACAGTAGAGGTAGGGGATTTGCTTTGGACAGCGCTGAAGTGGAAGTATTGCTGCGGTAGCCATTTTTTTTTATTACTTTACAACATTCTGGGCTACTTTTTAATTTATTTATTTTCGAAAACTAGTTTTCACCAGATGTGTTTTTTCCTTTTGTCGCAGTCCGGCCTGGTCTACACGGAGGAGGAGTGGCAGAAGGAGTGGAATGATTTAATAAAGCTTGCCTCCAGTGAGCCACGGATGCATTATGGCACCAATGGTGGCAGCAGTGGAGGGTGAGTGCCGTGTAATATTCAGGCTGTAAAAGAGAGGATCGATTTTCTGATGAATGGATTGCATGGTGCTCTTACTTTTTTATTTTTAGGGTGCGTTCACCTCGGCTCGGGGGTTCCTGCTATTAGCTGCCAGTAGGCAACCTCACGGAGAGGAATGGGAGAATGCCGGCTCTTGCATGTAATTGCTCAAGCAGCGATCGCATGTGATTTTTTTTTTTTTCCTCTCTGTATAACAGAGGTCAAATATGCATTAAAGGGTAACCCCGAATCTATTGGCCCACTCCTATTCCTTTACTTTTCAAAGAAATCATTGTTCAAGGTATGAACAAAACAAGAGAACTAGCAGTGACTGCTTTGACAAATGCAGCTACCGTATATACTCGAGTATAAGCCGACCCGAATATAAGCCGAGGTACCTAATTTTACCACAAAAAACTGGGAAAAACTATTGACTCGAGTATAAGCCGAGGGTGGGAACACCAGTGGGAAGAATCGTGCCTCATCATTGGTGTCAGTGGGAAGAATCGTGCCTCATCATTGGTGTCAGTGGGAGGAATGGTGCCCCATCATTGGTGTCAGTGGGAGGAATGGTGCCCCATCATTGGTGTCAGTGGGAGGAATAGTGTCCCATCATTGGTATCAGTGGGAGGAATAGTGCCCCATCATTGGTATCAGTGGGAGGAATAGTGCCCCATCATTGGTATCAGTGGGAGGAATAGTGCCCCATCATTGGTATCAGTGGGGGGAATAGTGCCCCATCATTGGTGTCAGTGGGAGGAATAGTGCCCCATCATTGGTGTCAGTGGGAGGAATAGTGCCCCATCATTGGTGTCAGTGGCAGGAATAGTGCCCCATCATTGGTATCAGTGGCAGGAATAGTGCCCCATCATTAGTATCAGTGGGGGGAATAGCACCCCATTATTGGTGTCAGTGGAATAGTGCCCCATCTTTGGTGTCAGTGGGAGGAATAGTGTCCCATCATTGATGTCAGTGGGAGGAATAGTATCCCATCATTGGTGTCAGTGGGGGGGAGGAAAAGTGCCCCATCGTTGGTGTCAGTGGGGGGGGGAATAGTATCCCATGATTGGTGTCAGTGGGGGGTGGAATAGTGCCCAATCGTTGGTGTCAGTGGGGGGGGAGGAAAAGTGGCCTATCCTTGGTGTCAGTGGGAGGAATAATGCCCCATCATTGGTATCAGTGACACCAATGATGGGGGGGGCACTATTCCTCCCACTGACACTTGCTGACCCCTGTTCCAGTATGGTGCTGCTGCAGCCAGCATATGTGGTTGCAGCAGCACCTAAGCACGGCACACTTACCTGCATCTCCTTCACTCGATTTTCGCGCGGGGGCCGCTCAGCTCCGCCTCCTCGCCGGTGATTGGCCGCCTGCGTGCCTTTCCTGAGCTACAGTTCTGGCGGCCAATCACCGGTGAGAAGGCGGAGCCGAGCAGCCGCGCGAACATCCAGTGGACGAACCGAATGAAGGAGCAACCGCGCTTCCTGGACCGGATCGTCGTGGGACCGGAGCCAGGTAAGAGACAGCAGCCCCCTGCCCACCCCTGTACTTACCGTAGTTTCCCTTCTGTTGGAAGGGGGGGGGAGCCATCTGCAGACGTTGACTCAAGTATAAGCCGAGGGGGCCGTTTTTCAGCACAAAAAATGTGCGGAAAAACTTGGCTTATACTCGAGTATATACGGTAATCAGATTCCTCCTTTTATTTACCAGCTTGCACCAGTAGAAAAAAAAAAAAACTGAATTCAGTTGGCTACTGAGGTCATCACAGAGGACAAGGGGGCACTCTACATCTGTAGAAAGAAATGTAATCTCCAAACAGGGAAAGGTTTCTTCACAGTCAGAGCTGTGAAAATGTGGAATGGACTCCCTCAAGAGTTGGTTCTGGCCTGCTCAGTGGATTGCTGTAGGAAAGTCCTGGATTTTTTCTTGGATACACAGAATATAACTGGATATAACATTTATAGGTAAAGTTGATCCAGGGAATATCCGATTGCCTCTCGGGGGATCAGGAAGGAATTTGTTTTTTCCTGCAGGAGCAAATTGGATCATGCTTTGTTGGGTTTTTTTGCCTTCCTCTGGATCAACTGCGGGTGTAGGATTATAACTTTTTTTTTAATGGTTGAACTGGATGGACTTTTGTCTTTTTTTCAGCCAGACTATGTAACTGGAGAAATGGACACGTTCTTCCTTCCAGTGTCTAGAAATTCGATTCAGCAGCTGGGAGGACATGGAGACAATTGTGTTTGCGAACTGCCCATACACAGCACTGTGAAAGTAACAAACTCTCTATATGTGTGTGACAGGATCGACAGCTCGGAGGAGCCGGTGTACGAGAGCCTGGAGGAGTTTCACGTCTTTGTACTTGCACATGTTCTTAAGAGACCCATTGTGGTGGTGGCAGACACCATGCTGAGGGATTCTGGTGGAGAAGGTAATAAAAAAAATTTTTTTTTTTTTTTTCCTCTAAATGCGATGTTCCATTTCAGATAATACACTCCATAACAAAGGGTTGGGACAAATGGCCATGACACCTACTATAAGGTCACAAATATGTGGACACGCTTCCTGATTGAGCTTGGGTGTTTCCAGTGAAGGGCGCTGTTAATTCTACAGCAGGGGTCTCCAGACTTTATATACAAAGGGCCAATTTACTGTTCTTCAGACTTCAGGGGGTCGGACTGTGGACATCGGGGATAGAAAATGTCCTGGTGTCAGTGGGAGCAAACAGTGCCCCATTTTTGGTGCTAATTAGAGGAACTGTGCCCTATCATTGTGTCGTTGGGGAATCGTGCCCCGTCATTGGGGAATCGTGCCCAGTCATTGGCGTCATTGGGTGGAACTGTGCCCCATCATTGGCGTCATTGGGTGGAACTGTGCCCCATCATTGGCGTCATTGGGTGGAACTGTGCCCCATCATTGGCGTCATTGGGTGGAACTGTGCCCCATCATTGGCGTCATTGGGTGGAACTGTGCCCCCTCATTGGCGTCATTGGGTGGAATTGCACCTCTTCATTGGTGTCATTGCACCCCTTCATTGGTATCAGTTGAGGGGGATTATGTCCCATTGTTGGTGTCAGTGGATGAAATAGTGCTCCAAAGGCCAGATAAAAGCAAGCAGAGGGCCGCATCTGGCTCCTGGGCCACAGTTTGGAGACCACTGGTCTACACCATGCAACTACATTTTAGACTATTGTATGATTCCAACTCATTGTTGGAAGTACCTTTTTTCTATTCCAGCATGACTGTGCCCCTATGTACAAAGCCAGCTCCATAAAGACAAGGTTTGAGGAATTTAGGGTGGAGGAACTTGAATCCTGACCTCAACCCTACTGATCACCTTTAAGATGAATTGTGACTCCGGGTGAGAACTAGGTCCGCCTTCAGACACCACCACCAGACCTTTTTGGCTGGATAGGCACAAATTCCCACACTCTGAAATCTTGTGGAAAGCCTTCCCAAGGGAGTGTAGGATGTTTTAAGTACGAAGGGGGGTGGGGCATACTATTGGCCATGGCAGGGGTCTGCAACCTTTAAGACATAAAGAGCCACTTGGACCCGTTTCCGAGAGGGAAAAAAAGACTGGGAGCCGCAAAACCATTGCAACATTTAAAACAAATCCGACACTGCATATATTGCAAAAAACGCTCTGGTCATGAAGGGGGTTTAAGGGCCCAGTAAGCAAAGGGTTAATCAGGGCCACAGTGTATCGTCATAATCACAATCATAGCCTTAGGTCAGTGGTGGGCAACCTTTTTTTCGACTGAGCCAAATCTCGCCAAAACCACGATTGAAATTTATTTTGAGAGAAACATTTTTAAAACTGAAAATACATCCCCCATATAGTAATTCATCCCCCATATAGTAATTCATCCCCCATATAGTAATTCATCCTCCATATAGTAATTCATCCCCCATATAGTAATTCATCCCCCCTATAGTAATTCATCCCCCCTATAGTAATTCATCCCCCCTATAGTAATTCATCCCCCATATAGTAATTCATCCCCCATATAGTAATTCATCCCCCCTATAGTAATTCATCCCCCCTATAGTAATTCATCCCCCATATAGTAATTCATCCCCCCTATAGTAATTCATCCCCCCTATAGTAATTCATCCCCCATAGTAATTCATTCCCCATATAGTAATTCATTCCCCATATAGTAATTCATCCCCCATAGTAATTCATTCCCCATATTAATTCATCCCCCCTATAGTAATTCATCCCCCCTATAGTAATTCATTCCCCATATAGTAATTCATCCCCCATAGTAATTCATCCCCCCTATAGTAATTCATCCCCCCTATAGTAATTCATCCCCCATATAGTAATTCATCCCCCCTATAGTAATTCATCCCCCCTATAGTAATTCATTCCCCATATTGTGTGAATTCACTTACCTTTGCTCCGCGCGTTCCTCTCGCTGGGTTCCCGCGCCGTTCTGGTCTTCAGGGCGGACTGTGAGAGGAGAGGAGTTCGTCACGCTGCCCCGCCTACATCCGGGCTGCCCCACCTACATCCTGACAGCCAATGTTTGCCAGCGGGCGCCCGGCACACAGAAGAGCTGTATTAAAAGAGCCGCGGCTTGCCGACCCTATTGCCTGTCACCTGGTGGGCAGTGTGCTCCGGAGCCGCAGGAAAGGTGAAAAAGAGCCGCATGCGGCTCCGGAGCCGCGGGTTGCCGACACCCGGGCCATGGTATTGGAATGCCCAACAGGCAGTCTGATGGTTGGGTGTCTTCAGACTTTTAGACTTAGTGCTGATTCACACGTGCGGTGCAGATTGAAGCTCAGGTTCCAAAGCTGATTGACACAGCAGTTGTTCAGCGGTTCATGTTAGGTTTACATCTGGTTCAGGACAGGTTTGTATCAGGTTCAGGTTAGTGTTTTATCCTGTTCACAACTGATGACATGCGGTTTAGAAATGGCTCCCATAGAAGTCCATAGCTTGTAATCCACACCTAAACCGGACTGCACTGCTCAGAAATTGGACTGGACTCTTTTTCAATCCGCAGAGAGAGCTGATGCATACATGTGCAGTGTGAATTGAAGCTCAAATTTTGCAGCTAATTGATACAGTAGTTCAGCGCTTCATGTCAGGTTTACATCAGATTCAGGACAGGATTAGCTCAGGATCTTATCCTGTTCACACATATGCGGTTTAGAAACGGTTGCCATAGAAGTCAATTGCCTGTAAGCCTCACCTGAACCTGAAGGCAATGCTCAGAAATCGTACATGAGTCTTTAAAACTGCACTGAATCCGCACTGCCAGTGCACCAGACATGCAGTATCTCACAGAAGTGACAACCTCTGGATATGACACTGAGCATGTGCACTCAACCTCTTCGGTCGACCTTGGCGAGGCCTGTTCTGAGTGGAACCTGTCCTGTTAAACCGCTGTATGGTCTTTGCCATCGTGCTGCAGCTCAGTTTCAGGGTCTTGGCAATCTTCTTATAGCCTAGGCTATCTTTATGTAGAGCAACAATTCTTTTTTTCAGATCCTGAGAGTGTTCTTTGCCATGAGGTGCCATGTTGAACTTCCAGTGACCAGTATGAGAGAGTGAGAGCGATAAAATGGCTAATTGGGCCCAATTTGGACCTTGTCACCTAGGGGTGGACTCACTTTTGTTGCCAGCGGTTTAGACATTAATGGCGGTGTGTTGAGTTATTTTGAGGGGACAGCAAATTTACATGTTATACAAGCTGTACACTGACTACGTCACATTGTAGCAAAGTGTAATTTCTTCAGTGTTGTCACATGAAAAGATAGAGTCAAATATTTACAAAAATGTGAGGGGTGGACTCACTTCTGGGAGATACTGCATGTAAACAGGCACCAAAAGATGCAATGTATTTTCACGTCATGCGGATTGGATGCGGTCCAATCCGCATATATGTGAACCGGCACTGAATCTGCACTTCCAGTGCACCGGACATCTGTAAACAGGCACCATAGGAAGCAATGTTATTTCACGTCATGCGGCTTGGATGAGGTTCAAACTGCATCCAATCCGCATATATGTGAAGCGGCACTTAGGCTTCATGCACACTGGGGCTTTTGTAAATGATAAAGCACCTCTCCTCAATGTGATTTTTGATGGGCCTCTGTATGCTCCAGCCTCTAAACACCTACGTGTGCATGGACATACAGGCGAACAATGAGGGGCTGCAGTGTGCATGAGGTCTTAACGCCTGTATTGTCACCCTGTCACATGCATCTGTGGTAGAGTCTTCAAGCAGCCATGTCCATGCATATTGCACAGGCACAATCCACCGTTGTCCCTATCAGGAGGCTGGTCTAAAGCAGTGATGTGCAGCAGACATATAGAAAGGCTGGAGGAGATCATTATAATGGCAGTTGTGCACAGAGCAGCCTCGGTGTCATTCCGTTTTGGTTGACACCTAGTCTGATAGTGGCATTCAGTCTGCTTCTATTCGTTTATTATTTGTTCACCGGTGGCCCCAATGTAATAACTTACTAATTACATTTTTAGTTAAAATCTTTCTGTTTTCATTATACACCTTGTTTTAGATCCAGTGACACCATCATTAGGCCTCTGTACAATGGAGGCAGATTATGGCTGGTGGGAGGGGCCAGCAGGGGGCTGTACAGAAACATCACAGGACCCTGCCCTCAGGTCTGATACAAGCAGTGGGCTGGATCTTAGGAGGATTTCTAGAATCACTGAACTTGTGAGCATCAGTCTGGAGGATTGGGTGTTCTTAGGGCTCATGTACACTGCAACTGATAAACTGACGTTTAGGAGCTTTTCTGCGTTTTTTTATCAGCAGCTCCTGAACTTCCCCTAATGTTTTCCTATGTGTCCATGTACACATCTTCGTTTACAGGCAGTTGAGTTTGCAGTTGTTTTTTTGTTTTAAACACAGAAAAATTGCGTTCAGCAGTCGATTTTATCAGCGTTTCAAACGCAAAATGCTTGTAAACGCGGCAAATTGCGTTTAAAAATTTTTTTTTTTAAACTCTTCCAGTTCCCGATGCTGTCCAGAGCCTTTTTTTCATCATGCAAGAGTTTTTAAGGTACTCAGATGGACAAAACACTGAACACAGGATGTTCCTACCAAGCTTGTCACACATTGTAATGATCAGTTCACACCTCAGACCTCTCCCACCCTTGGAAACAAAAAAAATGTTAATGACCATTCACACCTCAAATTCCTCATGAAGACCCCCTGCCAGGTGGCCTTAATGACTCCCTCCACCAGACACCTTTCCCACCTTTGGAAACAAAAGAAATGTTAATGAGCAACTCACACCTAAACTAATCTCAACACATTCTGCTCTCTCTGCTTCTACTCTCTGTATTTCTCTGTAACAGTCTGAAATAGTTAATAATTTACCACTTTTCAGTGCATTCTGGGCATTTGGGAGGATCTCCTGCGCTTATCTTTAAAAACCGCGTATTGCAAACGCGGCTAAACAGCCGTTTTTTAACCTACGTTTTCCAGCAGTCAGAAGTGTCCCGTGTACATGGGGCCTTAGGCTGGTTGTATTTGCATGTAAATTGCCCTAGGTAACACCCACATGTGATACTGAGCCTCTGAGGTTAAAAGAACTGTAATCCAATTAATGAAAGGGGCAGGCCAATCATGCTGGGGAGGAAAGAGCTAGATGATGCTGGATGTTCTCCAGCCTGGAAATGAAGTGGGCTATATGTGACTTGCTGCAGCTTCTAATGCACATTGGGAGAAGCTCACAGGGTGCGGTGAAATCAGAGTAAGCCATTTCAGTCCAGGAGAGGAGCCGGTACAACTGTGGAAGACTGGAGGGAAGGCCGGAGTTCCGCTTTCATCTCCTGGTCAGACCAGTTAGACACATAATAATAGATTAGATCTGGAGCAGGCAGCTTCTGTTGGGAGATGAAGATAATGGGAAGTTGTGACCAGTTCATCTGAAGTCAGTGTTGTGTAACTCATTGGAATTGGACACAATTTGTAGCCGTCCTCGTGCAACACACATCACCACCACCCTCAGGACGCCTGATTACGTTTTTTTTTTTTTTCCTCGGTTATATCTGATAGTGAAATTCTTTCCACATGCTAAGAATAGAACGTGGTGACTGATAGACAACCGCCGTCCTCCGCCCACCTTCTCTATGTCCATATACACTGCCTGCAGGGCTAGTTAACATATGACTTGTATGTTCCCCCCCCCAGGCCAGGGAAGTTCTGTCACGTTGGTGACATTTATAGATTTGTGATATGTGCCATTCCACACTTTGGGTTGCAAGGCTTTCCATCGTCTTAGCTCAGGATTCTGTGATTTATCCATTTTGGGATTCTCTAGTATTGCTGCTTGTCTTCCTTGTGTGTCACCTTGTTGTCCTCGAAGTTCTCAGCGTGAGCTGCTCTTCCTACAGCTTGAGATTCTCTGCTTCACCTGCTTGCCCTGGGTTTGCTTTCATGATATTCCTCCAGGTTTGTCTTGGAGCCCTGGTTTTGCTTGCTTGGCATTTACAGTGGGGATCGAAAGTTTGGGCACCCCAGCTAAAAATTTGTATTAATGTGCATAAAGAAGCCAAGGAAAGATGGAAAAATCTCCAAAAGGCATCAAATTACAGATTAGACATTCTTATAATATGTCAACAAAAGTTAGATTTTATTTCCATCATTTACACTTTCAAAATAACAGAAAACAAAAAAATGGCGTCTGCAAAAGTTTGGGCCCCCTGCAGAATTTATAGCATGCACTGCCCCCTTTGCCAAGCTGAGACCTGCCAGTGTCATGGATTGTTCTCAATCATCATCTGGGAAGACCAGGTGATGTCAATCTCAAAGGTTTTAAATGCCCAGACTCATCTGACCTTGCCCCAACAATCAGCACCATGGGTTCTTCTAAGCAGTTGTCTAGAAAACTTTCCTTGGCTTCTTTATGCACATTAATACAAATTTTTAGCTGGGGTGCCCAAACTTTCGATCCCCACTGTATATTTGGGGTTCTTGGTTTTGCCCAGTTCATTGGGGGATCCCTGGTTTAGCCTGCTTGCCTGGTTCTTTGAGGTTCCATAGTTAAGGCTCCATGTACACGGGGCATATGGAAAACTCTTCTGAACGATGGAAACTGACTGCGGGAAAACGTAGGTTAAAAAACATCAGTTTAGCCGCGTTTATGCGCGTTTGCGTTCAGAAGCCTTTTTAAAAGATAACCTCAGGAGACCTTCTCAAATGCCCAGAATGCACTGAAAACAGTAAATAATGAACTATTTCAGACATTTTGAGAGAAATCGAGAGAGCAGTATGTGTTGAGATGACCTGTCTTTTCGGGTTGTATTCACTATGGATCCCATCATGAGCATAATGCGGCGCGTTCTACCATTTTTTCCTTCACACGAAACCTGGAACTGATTGCGCTGGTGTACCGGGTCCATTTGAATACATGGAAAACTCTTTGTATGCATTTTTGATGATGAAAAAAAGGCTTTGGACGGGATCTGGACATGGAACAGTTAAAAAACACCTCTAAACGCAAACGCTTATAAACGCAGTTAACCGCGTTTACAAGCGTTTGGTGTTTGAAATGCTGGTAAAATCTACTCCTGAACGCAAGTTTGGTGCGTTCAAAAAAAGAACTGCCTGTAAATGACGATGTGTACATGGACACTTAGGGAGAGTTTAGGGGCTGCTGAAAAAAAAAAAACGCTCAGCAGCTCCTGAACATCAGTTTAGCAGCTGCAGTATACATGAGCCCTTAGACCTGCTTGCTTTTTGAGGGTTTTTTTTTTTATTACCTCTATGCATTCTATTCCCCCTCCTTCAAAACTAACCCGAGCCCCTTCTCGATCCAGCGATGTGCATGGGAGCCTCGGCTGTCCCGGCTCTCTCACTCCTCATTGGCAGTGGGAGCCATTGTTGTATTTCTCCATGAAGGTTCTGCTGTTTGTCTGATTTGTTCTTCTTTCTTCTGTCATTTTCTGCAAACAAGTTACATTAGATCACAAGCTCGTGTTTTAGTAGCAGCTTAATTTCCTCATAAACATTGGAATACTTTGGATCCAGCTAACATAGTAAAGATCTGGTTGTATGTTCAGTGTTTGGTCGGTATGTTCTGCAAACTAGTTACCGGGCCGTCATGGTCACCCTCTAGCTTCATGAATACGGCAAGTCCTTTGCCAGAACGCGCATGGGGCTTTGTGACCTTTCTGAGTCGGTGAAGTCATGGGGTCCGAAAAGTAGTCAGAGGGCTAGTGGGCCTTTCCCATATCTTTCCTCAAGGAAGGTTTTACTTTAGGCCGTGCATAAATTGGAAAATCTTTGTGTTTTATCCCACATACACAGAGATTCTGATTGAACAACCCCACTGACGACCATAGAAGCAGTGACTCTGAATTGCACTCAGTCTGCTTAACCCCCCTGGCGGTATTCCCGAGTGTAGCTCGGGGTAAAATTTCAGTACCACAAGTGGTAACCCCCCCGAGCTACACTCGGGCTTACCATGCGGCGTTGCTCAGGGAGTCCCTGCAGCACTTACCTTGTCCTTCGCTCCCGCGATGCGTCCCCTGCAGCGTCCCCGGCCATCTCCTCCGGCCGATGCCGGCATCCGGCTTCCGTGTTCCGGTCCCTGTGACGTCGGGACGTACGGGCGCCAGAACCAGCGGCAAATTTGAAATTTTTAAAAAATATCATTTTTTAACAAATGATTATTACATAGTAAAACATTGCTGTTTCAACCCATTTCACATACATTTTGTCCCGAGTGCTTTGTCCGGCGCCCTGCCTGCATTTTGACTGTTCTTTCTGCCTGGAAACTTAGAAACGTCCATGGCGTCCAAGGCGTCCAATAAGCATCCCTTTAGGTCAGACGCGGTTTTAGACCACCTAGAGAACAGCGATAGTAAATCAGAACCACTTGCAGAATTGAGTGATAATGATTCGTGGGGTAAATTCATCATCAGACAGTGAAAACGATTCTGCGACTTTGCTCAGCGATGTGCGAACTTGGCGCTATATTTCAAATTTCAGTGTTTTTGGTTTGATTATATTATTGAATTACATTTATTATTATTATATTATTATTTTTTATGATTATTTATTAAATTATAATTTATGATTTCGTGTTTCAAGTTTTATCCTCCCCGGGATGTTTACTAGACTCTTGTTCGGACAGATTTCAGTGAGTTATTCCTAAAAATTACAGCCTACAATAAAAAACTACATATTTCCATGGAAAAAAATGTACCATTTTCAGCACCAAAAATCGGAAATAATCATACCGCCAGGGAGGTTAAAGTGATTTTAAAGGTTTATGGGTTTTTTTTCTTAAATAACAAACACATCATACTTACCTGCCCTGTGTAGTGGTTGTTCACAGATCACCCCCGATCCTCCTCTTCTCGGGTCCCACGTCAGCGCTCATGATTCCTTCCCCTTTGCCAGTGGCCCCAATAGCAATAAGGGTACTGGTGTGTGCTCACTCCGGAGCCCTGCTCTATGCAGAACTGTGGCTGTGCTCTACCCCACACACTCTCTCTCCTCATTGGCCCACTGGCTGTGATTGACAGAAGTGAGAGTGGCTCCTGCTGCTGTGTCTCAGCCAATGAGGAGAAAGAGACCTGGGACAGCCAAGGCTCCTGTGCACCTTTCTGGATTTGAGAGGGGGCTCGGGTGAGTATGGGGGAAGAGGGGGAGCTGCACATAGAAGGTTTTTATACCAAGGAAAGTAAAAATCCTTCAGCCTTTACAACTACTTTAAGTCGAATTAAAAACTTTCCCTCCTTTCACTTTGCAGTTTCTTAGCATTTCTTCTCTAATTTTTGAACCCGATTGGCATGGGTGGCCACATTTAGTTACTTTTCTCATCTTCTATCTCATGGAATGTTTCTCTATTATCCTGATATTGTACAAGTTTGGTGCCGTCACTTTCTTCATGTTATCACTGACACTGGTCTCTCTGTACACGCAGCCTTTGCTCCAATACCCTTTGGGGGCATCTACCTTCCCCTGGAGGTCCCACCCACCAAGTGCCACAGCTCCCCGCTTGTGCTGGCGTATGACCAAGCCCACTTCTCTGCCCTGGTGTCCATGGAACAGAACGAGCAAAGCAAGGAACAAGGTACATTTCTAACACGGTCCAGTACCATAGTAATACGAGTAATGGGGGAAAGAGCACCTGAAAGTAAGTGTGTGTGTGTGTGTGTGTGTGTGTGTTTAGTGGACCTGTGATATTTTTATGTCTTTTTTTTTTTTTAAATATGTGCGTTTTTGTTGTTGCAATTTAGTGGGTTTCCAAAGGTAGATTCCTGCATGACAGCCAGCTTTGGAAGTCCATATAAGTGAATAACGTTTTATTTCAAACATGTTTTGGCAAATCTAACAGTTTCCTTTTTTAAATGTGAAGTTCACCTTTGTATTGAAATGTACCATGCAGTAGTCAAGGGGCCCCAGTAAAGAGAAAAAAAAAAAAAAAAGAGTGAGAAGAGGGAGACATCCTGCTACTCATTTTATTTTGCAAAGAAAGCGTCCCTGGCATCCCTCTAGGGTGTTTACTCATTACTTGCAGTGGACTGGAAGCGTATCCAAATGGATGCTTTTTAATATAATAGTTCTCGTATCTGTAGATGTCTGTACCAGGTAAACATCAATAGCAGATTTCTATTTTGAGACTTGGACCTCGTGCTACACCCACTGGATGTTTAGCATGAGATCCTGGGCTTTTGGTGCGGTAGAAGTCAAAGGCACACCGTCCAGCTCCAATTTGGCAGGTTCCCACTTCCGCGGAGTTGTCCTCCCCGTAGTTTTGTGGGACATGTGACAGGTCCCAGAAGACTACAGGTTGCCATTCACAAAGAATCTCGTGCATGTGCAGTGGGCACCCGACTGTGAAGCTGCAAGCTGTCACAGCCGGGTGCCCACACTGAAGATGCCGGCGCCGGGGAGAGAAGACGGCCGGTGAAAGCAGGACACTGCTGGACCGAGGAACAGGTTCTTCTGCACAGTATAGCCGAGCGGCTGGCCCGGTATTTCAACACAGCAGCGGGAATACCAGTCCAGCCACTCCATAAGACACACCGACATTTTCCACCATTTTTTGGGGGGGAAAAGTGCGTCTTATGGAGCGAAAAATACGGTAGTGAATTTTATGGTTGGTCCAGTGACTTCTCAGGTCCTTACTTTTCTTCCACGGTGGTGGGCGTGCCTCTCACCTCTTGCAGTGACGTGTGAGCACCACCTAGTCCAGGAGTACTGTGAGCCCAGCTTGTGTGAGGAACCGCAGGCACTGGGTTGAATGAAGCCATCTGTCATTTGACCAGAAAACTGAGGACACCTAGTGGTTTAAGAGTAGTACTGTAGAGAAAATAAAAAAAATTAAAAATTACAAAAAAATAAAAAGCTCTGCGCTTCTCACATTTCACCATAGATTGCAGGGTTTTCCTCTCAGCTTCCCTTTCTCTTGTCCCGTAGCTAAAATGTAAGCGGCACACAGAGAACATAAACAATATCGCCATCACTCCTAAGAGAAATCTTAAAAACTTCACAATGCAACCCAAAGTAACTTATTTGCCTTAATCAGAAAAATCACCTTAAACATTTGTAACTTTCCAGACAATCAGTACTTTATGAAGAAATATCTCAGCACTATATCAGTACCTCAATACAATAGACTCCTGTACAGGCCGAATCAAACACGTATATTAACCACTTCCTGTCTGGACAATTTCAGCTTTCAGCGCTATCACACTTTGAATGACAATTGCGCGGTCATGCAACACTGTACCCATATGAATTTTTTACCATTTTTTTGAGACAGATAAAGCTTTATTTTGGTGGTATTTATTCACAGCTGGGATTTTTATTTTTTTTGCTATGTAAATGAAAAAGTCCAAAAATTTTGAAAAAAAGTGTTTTTTTTTTAAATAAATATTTCATCATAAATCTTGGCCAAAATTTATTCCGTTATTTTTTAGTTAAAAAAAAATCCAAATTAGTTTATAACCAAAAATTATAATTTTTAAACATTTTTTTTTTATATTTTTTATTTTTTTTTACATACTGTCACCCTAGCAGTACAGTGTCACCATGGTGACACTGTACTACTTGTGGGGGGTGATGAAGATTATTATTATTTATTTTTTTTTTTTTACACTGATTGCTTTTACACCCATATAGGATGTAAAAGCAATCATTCTCTTTCTCTCTGTCTGTATTCTTGCAGTCATTGAGAACTACTGAGTGAGCTGTGATTGGTCACAGCTTGTCACATGGTACAAGGCTTTTGTGAATAGCCCTGTACCATGTGACCTCTGTGATCGTTCACAGATTTCACACGTAGTAAGCAATGATGTCACAAGTGACATCTTGCTTACTACTTTGCATGTGATCACTGATTGGCCAATCAGTGATCACATGATCGGGACCTCGTACAGAGGTCCCGTCCAACGATCGGTGTTTCACTGTGGCCGGAGGACACAGCGGGCACCGGATTGCGGTGCTGCGCGCACAGCTAGAAAAGGCGGGTGCCGTTTATGAACGGCAACCCGCCCCTGGACTGCCACCGCCCTGCCGTTTATAAACAGCAGGCGGACGGCAAGTGGTTAAGCTATATTTAATTATTGACTATAGATTGCATAATACAGCTAAATATAGCTTAACCTCTTCACACCGGCACCTCCCGGCCCTTTAAGAGGCTTCAGATGCCCGGGAGGTGGGGCGTGGTTTTAGGGTCATGTGATTCACGGTCACATGATTGGAAAAGGTCCCGATCGCAAGGGGAGATCAGGACCTTTCCGTGAGACACCGACATATGTGCTGGGAGCGCGCTTCTCAGCACATATGTGGCCGCTCGATGTCAAGGCCCAAGCGCCGAGAGGCCGCATATTTGCGTACTGTCGGCATCAAGGGGTTAAAGTAGCACTAAAGTCTCTTCTTTCTTTTTCTATTTTTAAACATTCTTACAAACACTCCTCAGAATGGATTGGTTTTGCACAGTGCAGTAATTAAGTCCATTATATTTATTTCAGAAAAACTTACTTTACATCCTCCCCCTCCTGTGCGCCACTTCCCCAATCTCCCTGTCAGAGAGCAAGCACTAATTACATTTCTATTCATCACATACATCCAGACAGCACAGTGCTTCTTTTTCAATTCAAGTACTTATTACATCAGTTTCGTTCATCGGGACTACAAGTCCCATCCGGCATAGCTCCTGTGCATTCAATTACTGTCAATGTGGGGACAGTTGCATCTTACAGGTCTCTATGGGACCCGGCGAGGGGAAGGATCCATCCAAAAAACAGGAATGGTGCCAGCGCTCAGGGGATAAGTGCAATCAGGAGAAAAGAGTAGGCGGCGTGTGTTGTGAGTCCCAGTATCTATTGTAGAAATTGTTAAAATGTAGATTTTAATATATAAAGTTTGTGTGTTCCTTAGATCAATGTAGGCCTTATTAAAGATGTATAAAAATACAATTCCTGTAGGAGATGAAAGCAGCCCTTTTATAGGAGCAAATTTTCAATTTTTCTGCATTTCTGTACATGCCTCACATACCTCGCTACAATAATTCCATGTTCTGTTTCACTGGAGGACCTCATTCTTCTTTTTTTTTCTGTAAAGGATTTGAGTTGAACAAAGGCAGCTTTTCATTCTCTGTATGTTTTGGTTTCTCTGTATAGCTCCTTTCATCCCTCTGACGGACTCTGAGCACAAGTTACTTCCTGTGCACTTTGCAGTGGATCCTGGCAAGGACTGGGAATGGGGCAAATACGACTCCGATAATGTCCGACTGGCAAGGTACAGTTACATACACCTTTGTAATCTCACCTCAATTACTCTACTTTTTTTTTTTGAGTAGTAACATAAAGCCCAACTCTGCGTAAATAAAAAGTTAGTCCTTGCAGCGAGGCTGGGGATTGCAAGGGTTAATGGCTTATTCATACCTAGGGGAACAATGACAGATTTACTTACCCAATCCTCCGCTTTTCTCTGAGGCAAGAGCAGTCCCTGCAGAGTATGTAAACCCCCCCCCCCTCAGTCTGCTTGTGTAGAGACCTGACATCCACATGACCAGAGTAGGGTCCATAGCCCTGCACTAGATGTGAGGATGATGAGGGACAATATCAGGTAAGTAAAACTGTTTCTGCAAAGCAGTGGTGGGGGGGGGGGGGCGGCATCAACTGTGGCCCCTGACAGCTCCAAAGGGGCGCACATAATGTTTAGTATACAACAGATGACTGTCAGAGACCTTGGACATACTAGAGGAGATGATCAGAAGCAGCAACCCTCCTAGAGGAGATGGTCAGAGACTGCTGACCTACAAGGGGAGATGATCGGAGACGGCAGACATACTAGAGGAGATGATCGGAGACGGCAGACCTACTAGAGGAGATGGCCGGAGACGGCAGACCTACTAGGGGAGATGACCGGAGACGGCAGACCTACTAGGGGAGATGACCGGAGACGGCTGACCTACTAGGGGAGATGACCGGAGACGGCTGACCTACTAGGGGAGATGACCGGAGACGGCAGACCTACTAGAGGAGATGACCGGAGACGGCAAACCTACTAGAGGAGATGACCGGAGACGGCAAACCTACTAGAGGAGATGACCGGAGACGGCAAACCTACTAGGGGAGATGACCGGAGACGGCAGACCTACTAGGGGAGATGACCGGAGACGGCAGACCTACCAGGGGAGATGACCGGAGACGGCTGACCTACCAGGGGAGATGACCGGAGACGGCAGACCTACCAGGGGAGATGACCGGAGACGGCAGACCTACCAGAGGAGATGACCGGAGACGGCAGACCTACCAGAGGAGATGACCGGAGACGGCAGACCTACCAGAGGAGATGACCGGAGACGGCAGACCTACCAGAGGAGATGACCGGAGACGGCAGACCTACCAGAGGAGATGACCGGAGACGGCAGACCTACCAGAGGAGATGACCGGAGACGGCAGACCTACCAGAGGAGATGACCGGAGACGGCAGACCTACCAGAGGAGATGACCGGAGACGGCAGACCTACCAGAGGAGATGACCGGAGACGGCAGACCTACCAGAGGAGATGACCGGAGACGGCAGACCTACCAGAGGAGATGACCGGAGACGGCAGACCTACCAGAGGAGATGACCGGAGACGGCAGACCTACCAGAGGAGATGACCGGAGACGGCAGACCTACCAGAGGAGATGACCGGAGACGGCAGACCTACCAGAGGAGATGACCGGAGACGGCAGACCTACCAGAGGAGATGATCACCTTTACCAAACACTGCCTATGCAGATAAGGGACATCTATAGATAAAAACAAACTGTGCAGCTTTTTACTAAAGTTGCATAATGCCTTTGCTATAAGTGTAAGCAATTTACATACCTCCTGAAGCCTGACTGAAAAACTCCCAGATGTGACATTATTATTACAGGTACTTGTATAGCGCCATCAATTTACAGCACTTTACATGATTATTGTGCATTCATATCAGTAAAGAGCATACAATCTAAGGTCCATAACTTACATTCATACATACACATACTAGGGCCAATTTAGACCGGCTCCAATTAATTACCAGCATGTCTTTGGAGTGTGGAAGGAAACCGGAGTATCCTGGAGGAAACCCACGCAGGCACAGTGAGAACATGCAGACTCCAGGCAGGTGGTGCCATGGGATTCAAACTGACAACCTTAGTACCACTAGGCGGAAGTGCTAACCACTTAGCCACTGTGCTGACCACCAATATCCATCTTGCCTTGTTGCTAGGATGTTGCTAAGACACTCCCAGCTGTTACTGCTCACCCCCATCATTACAGAAGCAAGTGCTCCCCTGCACATGTATAGTCCACTAGCTCCTCCATTTCAGAACTACTGTTAGAGGGGGGAGAGAACGAATGGGTTTAAATTGGCTGAGAGTGTCTTAGCAACAAGGCAGGCTGGGATGATGCAATCTCTGGGAGTTTTTCAGCCAGGCTTCGGGAAGTACATAAATGGCCTACAACTACAGCAAACGCATTATTTAATATCTGTCAAAGCTGCAGTTTGTTTTTATCTCCAGGCGTCTCTTAGCTTGCATAGGCAGTTTTTTTTGGTAGAGATGAACTAACCCTGTAAATGCCCTTTGTCTTGGGGTACCATTAAAAAGCAATTTTACTTTATAACTCCCCTGGCAGTGGGCGCTCCGCTCTTACCTCTGATGCTCCAGGTTGTGGATGGACCCTCGGCATTCCCGCCTACACTACAGGACTGCTGGCCCTGCATTGTATGTGACAACAGAGTGTGATTGGCAGATGGAGAGCTGAGAAGTGGCTTCAAGGGACCAATCACATGGAGGAGGAAGCCTGAGGAAGGGAGGGATAAGTGTAAAGCTGGCCATACACGTATAGATCTTTGTTTGGGAATTTTCGTTTCAAGAATATTAGTTTGCTTTTCTAATCGTTAGTGGGGTCAAATCGATGTTTGATTTCGACAGCAGTGGCGGGAAGGAAAACTTTTCTCGATCAAACTAATATTCAGCCAGTATATGTGGTTATCGTTCAGAAATGACATTCGTTTTCAACTCAGATATTAAAAGCAAAAGACAAATTTCGAACGGCATTCATTCACTGAATGTTCAAAGAAGTGTGGTACGAATATTCTCGTCCGAAAATCTACATGTGTATGGCTAGGTTCACACCTATGCAGTTTGCATGTGATCCCTTTTGCAGTGCGTTTTTGATGCATTTTTCTGGGGTTTTTTCCCCAAAAACTCACTACATGCATTTCTGCAGCGGCTCCATTGAAGTCTAGTGAACCAAAGACGCAACATTTTGCATGTAAAAAAAGACCCTGACTAAATGGACGGCTGTTCGTTTCTGCAAAACGCAACGGAAAACGCACTGGTGTGAACGAAGACTAAGATGGGAAAATTCGAAGAGGCGGGAAGGAAAACTTTGCTCGATCAAAAAAATTTTTGCCCAGTATATGTGGTTATCATTCAAAAATTGTCTTTTGCTTTTAACATTCGAGTTTAAAATGAATGTAATTTCTGAACGACGTTCACCGAATGTTCAAAGAATTTTTGTACGAATAGTCTCGTCCGAAAATCTACATGTGTATGGCCTGCTTAAGAGCCTTTTTTTTTTTTTATGGTTCCCCCAGAGAAAAACGAGCATTAACCCTTGCATTGCCGTGGGGGTCCCACTACTAGGGTAGGTCAATCATTATTTCTCCAGAGTTCAGCTTTAAGTGATCTCTTGTACAAGAGACAGTTCACATTCTTATGTTGAGGTTGGCTACTTTAGAATTCAGAATATATCTTTTACGCCCCATACACACTAGAGGAAAATCATACGAGGACCGATCGTCCCATAATCGGATCAAAGCTGCTCACGACAGTTCCGAAGGGACAAGCGCAAAAAATTTTCTCGTACGATACCAGACCGTACGGTTTTCGTTGAATCCGTTCAATAGCCATCCAAAAATACACTACATGACATCACTTTCGAAATTCTTTCCTTTCGTACGAGAATGTTCGTGTTTTTAGTAACTTTTTCACATTCGATGTAAGACTAGCAGGCAAAAAAAAAAAAACGGGCGATCGTTTGTCCGATATTCTCATGGTGTGTATGGGGCTTTAGGATATAACTTTCTCTATGGGTTGCTGAGCTTTGTACGTCGTCGTTACCCTTTGCTTCGTATATATGACCGCTTGGTGTTGGTGGAGTTGGGCGGCCATGTCACGAGACACTGTGTCCTCGTATTGTGCTCTGTTGTGTCATCGTAGAGCGGCCCGGCCCGTGAATATTTCATGAGGCATCTCTTGCCCCGGCCTTTCAGCTCCTGTTCGCAGAATGTAACAGGATCTCCGTTTTGTTGCTTCTCTCGGCCTTCAATAACAGCCATCCTTTTTATAGAGCATTTACCGTGTTGGCGCCAAATGCCGGCAGCCCCGTAATCTTCCTGGCTCAGGCATCTTATAGTAAAGTCTTTTGCCTTTGGCACAGCTGGTTAAAGTCCAACGCCGCCTTTTGGAGTATAGAGTAGAGGTCGGTGACCTTGGCACTTTAGCTGTTGTGCAACTAAAAGAGACATTGTAAGACTGACAACCACAGACATGAATCCTAGCGGCACGATGGGGTTTGTAGTTTCAGCTTGGCTGGAGTGGTGTGATTAATAAACAGAAGATGCTATACAATAAGTCCTCAATAAAAATATGTGCAGTCCAAAAAAATTTTTTAATCAAGTTCTTCTCAAATGATATTGTGTTCAAAAATCCTTCAGAAACTTCCTCCGATAATATTCCTAAAAAAAAAAAAGAAAATATTTACATAGTGCATTATCTTTTTGAATCAAATAAAATTATAATGACTTCATTCAGGTGGATATCCAATCACATTAACAATCAGTGAAAACGTGAATAAAGTGGAAAAAAAAAAACTGTGAATCCAAAACAATGAAATATCACTTTGAATCACTCTTCAGTGCTCTATTCAAACTGGCACTGTGTTGCTTCTCTTCAGTGCTCTATTCAAACTGGCACTGTGTTGCTTCTAAGTGCAGTAAGGAATGCATACCCTTACCAATATTCCAAAAACAGACACTTTTATATCTTTCCAAAAGATAGGTGGGAGACAATCCTCCTATGGATCTTTACCCAGTTAAAACTGCCTTCATAATATCATCAGGATCCAAAAAGCCTTGAGATTCCATATATCCCCATCAAGCATATAAGTGAAGTGGTGTGATTGCCTGCCCCTAGTATAGAGGAAGAATAGGGTAAGAAAGGGTTACAACCCTATTCAGATTGTTATGGGTCTCTGTGTCCCCATTTGACAGATTTCCCCTTACTTCCTGTCCAGCAGGTGTCAGAACAGGAAGAGAGGGGAAATCTCTCCATTAGCATTTGAAATGCAAAAAAGTTCTTGTTTTTACCGCTCTGTCTATAACTGGAGAAAACCATTGTGACTGCATTTGGGGTTAACCCCTTCCTGACTGCAAGCCTCATAGATTGTGATAGCTACAGTCTCAGACTTAGCCCAGGTTCAAACTGATGCGGTGCGGAAATTGCAGCGTTTTCTGTGTGAATTCGGCACTGCATCAGAATCGCACCCTGTTTATGCGAACGGCTGCGGGTGTGTATGTTGAGTTAACAACACCCCGAAAGCGGTCCGCAAAACGCAGTGCAATGTGCAGAATCAGATCGCATAGATGTGAATAATCATGCGGAACCAAAAAAGGGTCCTGCACGTTTTTGTTGCGAATAGAGCCATACAAGATGCGTGGCTCCAATCGCACCGCCCACAAATCACATGTGATTTGCACAGGAATGCGGTGCGGTTCCTGTGCGAATCACATGCGTTATACCGCACGAGTGTGAACCTAGCATTAAGGTTAAGTTTGCATTTGACCAGTTTTGCATTGTGTTTTTGCACCTGAGTTTTTTTTTTTTTTTTTTTTGTTGCTAGGAAGATTTAAAACACAAAACTGCAATACTTGCTTTTCTACAGTGTTTCCATTGAAGTCTATAGAATGTGAACCTGGGCTGATACCTGGGAACTAGTCAACATCATTCCTGATCATGTGATCACCAAGATAGCCAATCATGGTAATCACAAGACTTGTTTACAGCCAATTGTGATGGTCACATGGGGTTCGTTTACAAACAAATCTTCCGGCTGCTGCTGTCTCCCTCGCAGCCGAGAGCCTCAAGAGACTTTGCTCTGATCCGTATACATTACCAGGCCAGGCAGAATCTGAACCCATCTTAGTTGTGGTTGTTAAGTTGCAGCTTGAAAATACAAATTTATTAACCTCCATTTTTTTTTCTTGTCTTACAGCGTCACATTATCTCTGGAAGCCAAGTTAAATTTGTTGCATAATTACATGACGGTCACCTGGCTTTCTCTGCCATGCGAGACGCAGGTATGCTCGGGGGGGTCAGACATTTTAAAAGGATGAAGTGGGATATAATCCAGAGAAAGATTCGGGTAGACTGGGGCCCTAGACAAGGTTGCCCTGCCCCTGATAGATTTTGTTCTGGAAATGAGATGGGGAAAGTCCTCACCTCACTGCGGGAACACAGCACTGTATACTGTATGTAGCTGAGCCTATACAGTGCACGTTAACCGCTCTGGAAGGTTTTACCCCCTTCATGACCAGGCCGGTGTTTGCTATTTAGCACTGTGCTACTTTAACTGGTAGTTGCACGGTCATGCAATACTGTATCTAAATGAAATTTATATTTTTTTTTTCTTTTGGTGGTATTTGACCACTGTGTTTTTTATTTTTTGCTATATAAACGAAAAAAAAGACCCACATTTTATATAAAAAAAACCTACAATATTTTCTATTTTTCTTCTATAAAACATATCCAATTAAAAAAAAAATTGAATTTCTTCATAAATTTAGGCTAAAATGTATTCTGCTACATGTCTAAAAATCCCATTAAGTGTATATTGACGGGTTTGCGGGAAAAGTTATAGCATCCACCAACTATGATATATATATATATATATATATACTGGAATTTTTATTATTTTATTCTAGTAGTGAGGTTAGTCAGCGACTTAACGTGAAACTGCGGTGGGCAATCTGACACTAAGTGACAAGGGGAGGGAAATGACTAGCTGACGTTAATACAGTGATCAGTGCTAATATTATAAACTGTCACTGTACTGATTATTATTATTATACAGTATTTATAAAGCGCCAATAGTTCGCTCAGCGCTGTACATTACAAAGGGGGACAGAGCATGTGACAGAACAATACCAATACAATGCAAAACATGAGGGGATTGAGGGCCCTGCTCTTTCTGACACCGGCTGGGAAGGGGTTAACACCTAGAGCAATCAAGGGGTTAAATGTGTGCCTAACAATGTGTAATGTGCTCTTTTTTTACTCCCTGCTTTGCAAGGAGAAAAAAAAAAAGGCACATTGCTGCTGTCTGTAGAGAGCCGTGTTCGCTCAGCCATAAACCATTGGCCGGGACCCGCCGATCGGCTTGTGCTGCAGCGAATGCCAGCACAGTCTTCCGAGTTTGCATGCGTGAGCGGACCCAGAAGAAAGATGTGACATACGGGTATGTGGTTGTGCCTTATGAAGCAGACCTGCTGCAGTAAATTTACTGTGGTGGGTCAGCAAGCTGTTGATTGTTAAATCTTTTTTTTTTTTTTTTATATATAATATATACCAAACTTGTCATAATTGCCTGCTCTGAGCAATGGAATTGTACAGAGTGGCTCTAAAACCTCCTCATCTCAGATCCCCCGCCGGTGCCTGGCTCGTTCTCCCTTCCAAGTGCACCCATAGCAAGCCGCATGTTATGGGGGCACTCATGTGGGCTTGATCACGAGCCACACTGCCTGCATAGACCTAGGTATGATTCACTCACTCTTTGTCCTGGTAAAACACTGTCACCTGGACAGAGAATGGTGAGCACTCCAGACTTTTAGAACAGTAATAGAAGGGAAATCTCCCATGGAGTACCGCTGTTCTGGTGACAACTTCCTAAGAGGGGATTTTTCATTTCCTTTCACTTGTGTTTTGTCCTTGGAACAGGAAGTGAAGGGATATAAAACAACCCTCCAGCACTCACCTTTAGTTTTATTCATGTGTTGAAACTGCATTATTCGATAATTACGTGACTCAGTTGGCCTTGTATATACAAATGTGCACACATGACAGACGTGCGAATAACAATCCATTCAAAGGTTATAAACATAAAATCCACAAAGCTGTAGAAATCCTCCCAGGTATCGTAAACAAGCAGTAAACTTTATGGGCAAAGATGTTTGTTGGTACAAGTACACAAGATAATCAGCTTGTTGATGTGTAAAGGAACCCTTGAATGCACAAATTAGTTCTTCACTCTCATAAAATAATACTTTATTATGAAAACATGTAAAATAAGTTATTTATATTAACCTCTCGCCTACCGGGCACTTATACCCCCTTCCTGCCCAGGACAATTTTCAACACTGTTGCACTTTGAATGACAATTGCGCGGTCATGCAACACTGTACCCATATGACATTTTTAGAATTTTTTTTTTTACACAAATAGAGCTTTCTTTTGGTGGTATTTACTCGCCGTTGGGTGCGTTTATTTTTTTTGTGCTATAAACAAAAAAGAGCAAAAAATGTAAAAAAAAAAAAAAAAACATTTTCTCTGTTTCTATTATAAGATTTTGCAAACAGGTAGTTATTCTCCTTCACTGATGTGCGCTGATGAGGCTGCACTGATGGGCAGCACTGATCATCAGTGCCAATCCATCCTCTGACAATTGCCGGTTAGCGGCAGTATTTTGTACTATGACAGTGTGAGGAAAATGCAGCCAATAACTGGCAACTGCATTTACCCGGTGATCTGCTGTGTCATTGCTATGTTATTAAGCATATCTAGTAAAAACATTAACAAAAAAATCTAATTTTGTTGGAAAATCCCAATACGTGTCAATTAATTGGTTTACATGAAAGCTATAGCGTTTACAAATGGCGGTATATGTACTGGTCTTTTTTTATTTATTTTTTTGTTTTACTAGTAATGGCAGCGATCGGTGACTTATAGCGGGACTGCTGCAGACATTCTGAATCTGGGGTGGGGAACTGACTTTGTGTCACTGACATCCCCAATGACACAAATACAGTAATCAGTGCTAAAAAAAAAAAAAAAAGCACTGACACTGTACTAATGGCACTGGGCAAGAAGGGATTAACATCAGGGGCAATCAAAGGGTTAACTGTGTGTGTTTTACTTGGGGGCGGTATCTGTGTGCTTCACTGTAAGCACACTGCTCTGGATAGCTGTGCTGTGCACAGCCATTCAGAGCAGTGTGCCAGAGCTGACATGGAGGTGAACTGTTGGTAAACAAAACAGTTCTCCTTCCCTTCGGAGATCTTCAGAAATCAACGGGCGCCGGTGAGTAATAACTGGCCGGAACTCAGTGATTAACAGCCGTGGCCGCAAATGACGGCTTGGGTAGGGCGCGTCTACCCCCTACCCGGAAATGAAAAATCTTTATATATATATATATATATATATATATATATTACATTATTTATATAGCGCCAAAGGGTTTGCTCAGCGCTGTACAGTAGCAAGGGGGACAGAACATGAGACAAGACAGTAACAATACAATACACGAGGGGTTTGAGGGCCCTGCTCTTTCGAGCTTACAATCTTTTATTTATATATATATATATATATATATATAAGATTTTGCGCACCCGTGCCGCCCTGTAGCAGTATTTCTGCTATAGGGTGGTCGGGAAGCGGTTGATGAATGTAAAGAATGAATTGTCCATCTTGGCAAAGGCACACATTCTCTGCATTGACCAGCCTAAAGACCATTACTGTTGAAATGTGTCAGAAGTGACGCTGTGTGTGACATCACCACAGGGTGCGCTACCTAGATATACCCAACCATATTATGGGCAGTGCTGCACAGGGATCCTTTCCACGACGGTTTTTTTTATGATACCTGTGGGATGGAGTTATACAGCTTTGTGGATTTACAGTTTACACCCCGTGAATGGATTATCAGCACTTCTGTCCTGTGTGCACATTTGGATACATGATCAGGAGAATGAGTAATGTAACGAACTTATTCCATGCGGTTTTATCAGATGAATACAAATGGAGGAAGATCATTTTTATGCTTGATTAACAAGTGATCTCAGCAGCTACCTAAACATTGGATAATATCTCCCTGTCCATTTGCTGAAAAAAAATATTCATTTAATTTAGAGGAAATTAAGGAAAATCTCACCAATGGCGAAAAAAAAAGCTGTCAGGTTTTTTGCCATTTTCTATCCAAAACTTAAAGGATAGGTTCACCCTTTGTAACATCTTTGGACGACCTCCATTCCCCGTTTTGACAGCTAGTGAGGGATTTTCCCCGCTAGCTGTAAAACTGGCTGTGCAGGGCTCCACCCACACGGCTGTGTCACTCATTCACAGTATTCTGTAAATGAGAAAACTACAAGTTTCGACTACCATTTACACAGATATACTGACAGGTCTGCAGGAGTCCTGCATGGCACCAGCAATCTGCTGGTGCAGTGCTTTCCGGGCTTCAAAAAAATTGTAAATGCACATTTTTTTTTTTTACCTGCAGAAAAAAAAAGTGCATTTATAATTTTTTTGTTAAAGTATTTAAAGGTGGAGTTCACTTTTTAACAATCCTGCATGCCTAATAAAGTGGCCTTTAGCTGTGTAGAGTATGAACAGACTGACGTGCATTAGGCAAAGGTTGTTTTTTTTACCTTAATGCAACAAGGTAATAAAACCTTCTGCCTTTAGAATCACTTTATTAAAGAGTGACCATCTGAGATTTATCATCTACTATAATATCTGTATATCATAGTATATGATATATCTCAGAAAGTCACTCTTTATTAACCCTTTGAGGACCGTAAGATTTTGGAACACCAAAAGAATCCATTTTTTTGTTTTTAAAGTTTGTACACTTCAGTTGCTGTAACTAAACCATTTCATGAAATAATTGGCACAAAGCTAGATCCATTTGTTGTTTGTTGATAACTAATATTTTGACTCAAAAAAAAAAAAAAAGTTTTAAGTTCTTAATCAGATGATACAGGCAATTAAAAACCTGGGACAAATACATCCCTTGGTCCTCAAAGGGTTAAAGTGGTTCTAAAGGCATTCGGTTTTGTGTCAAGAAATTACACTTTTTTTTTTTTTTTTTATGGCTGAACTGGATGGATTTTTGTCTTTTTTCAGCCAGACTAACTATGTTTTACTAACCTGATACCCGTTTTTCTACAAAATGCTGATTCTTTTGTCTCTGTACAATAGGCTCCTCTCGCCCAGCCGGAGTCACCAACGGCATCTGCTGGGGACGATGCGAGGTCTGCCGCAGAATCTGGAGAGTCGGACAAAGAGTCTGTGTGCAGCAGCTCGGCAAGCAATGGAGGCAGCAAGAGCGGAAAGGAGAAGGACAAGGAAAAGGACAAGTCCAAAAAAGAGAAAGATAAGGAGAAAGACAAGAAGAGAGCCGATTCAGTGGCCAACAAGTTGGGCAGTTTTGGCAAGAGCTTGGGGAGCAAGCTGAAGAAGAACATGGGAGGACTGATGCATAGCAAGGGCGGCAAGTCCGGCATGACCAATGGACAGGGCGACACGCTTGAAAAGAAAAAGAAGGGTTCCCTCAAGGGTCGGAAAGGGAGCAAAGAAGACTCCTCCCAAGGGGACTTGTCTACGTCATCTGAGAAATCTTCCGTCAAATCCACAACTGACAAAAGCCAGGGCGACCCTTACAAGTACAGTAACGATGTCAAGTTGAGTCTCAGCATCTTACGGGCGGCCATGCAAGGTGAGCGCAAGTTTATATTCGCCTGCCTGTTAAAAACTAGCGATCGTCAGCCGTACCAAAAGCAGATGATCCAGAGGTATCTGGCCGATGCCCAGGAGAGGTTTGTAGCGGAGCAGAAGCAGCGAGAGGCAGAGAAAAAGACTCTGATGAACTGCGGCGCAGCCAAGCGGTTGGAGCAGGACATGTTGCAACCTAAAGGAGACGATTTGCTTCCGTTGCCCACCTACGCCCAGGCAACTGGTAACTATGGAATGGCGGGCATGGACTATGGTGTGGGCGTGAAAGGAGCACTACCTTCCAGCTACTCTGGAGGATTTACCATCCCGAGACCTTCCCTAGTGAATGCGGATGGTGCTCATAGCTACCAGGACAATAGACGGCAAGTCGCAGGTGGGCCTTGTAACAGCATGCCCTCTTACGTCACTCTCCCCCCGGCAACCCGTACAGGGTCGGCTCAACGCCTACCATGCTAGCCCGCTACAAGTGGGCGGCCTTTTCTCCTCAGAGACTGAGCTTCCTCCGGTGTACCCCGAAGCCATCGACCAGACGGTCTGCATCATGCACAGCAACGGCTACAGAGAATACACAGACCCCACCTCCCTGTCCAGATCCGTGAACTCTGACAGCAGCAAAACCCGGACACACTATAATGTCCAGCAGACCAAGTGTAAGCAAGTTCACTGCACTTTTTACGGACATCCCGAAACGGGGAACTACTGCTCGTGCTGTTACAAGGAGGAAATGAGGCGGAAAGAGAGGGAGAAAGAGGCTTTAATTCACAGGTTCTGACGAGCTAACAAACCTCGTGTGTTTGACTTGTATTCCACAAAGTGTTCCAGCAGGGGGCAGCAAAGGGGGATGCAATAGTGTTGATCGGACTTCTCCTTCATGTGTTGCCTGGGTGCTTAGATCTCCGTCTAGAGTACGTTCAAACCAGCCGATGAAACTTTGGAGGGTGTTCCGGGACAGGCACCCATTGGTTCCCAGGAGCGAAATAGAAGAGGAAAAAAAAAAAAAAATCAGGACTTAAAAAAAATGCAATTTGATATTTTTATGTGACAACCTAATTTTTGATTGTCTCTTTTAGCACTTTAGGTAAAAGTATAAGTATACTGACATCTTGTTTTTTTATATAATTTAAAACCACAGCTGTTATGCTTAACCTGGTTTTAAAGGTGTTTATCCTATTCCCTGCCCCCCCCCCCCCGAGAGCGTAATTCCAAACATGGTATTTCAGAATTTGGCTACTTTCTACATACACAATAAATCCAGTGAGCGGTTTGACCAATCCTGTCGCTGTAATGTGTGCTCCGCAGAACCACTCCCACGTTTTAGCTTGCCCTTTAAGAGGATTCGCTCTGGGCGGGGCTTGTGTCCCCCAATCAAGTGGGTCTGTTAGAGGTTCTTCAGGGAAGGAACTCTTCTCACCCAAAGAGTGGAGTCTGTTTAGTGCTTCATAGTACTCAGCTCATTTATTTCCATTAACAAGCTGGGCGATCTGAGGGCTTTCTTAAAGCGGAGTTCCACCTAAAAAAAAAAAAATAAAAGCAGATGCAAAAACTGTAGCTGCTGACTTTTAAAATACATCCACTTACCTGTCCCTTGGTCCAGCAGTGTCCTCACCACGGGTGGTTTCACCGGCTGTCTTCTCTCCCCAGGGCTGGCATCTTTCAGTGTGGACACCAGGCTGTGACAGCTTGCGGCTTCACAGCTGGGTGCCCACTGCGCATGCGTGAGAAGCGCTGCGCTTTGTGAACGGCCCCGTAGTCGGACCTGTCACATGTCCCAGAAGACTACGGGGAGGGAGGACGACTTCCGCTTCCGATCACCTGGGCGATCGCAGTGGGAGCGGGTACCTGCTCCCCAAAGGTGCCAGTCCCTAATGGGGAGCGGGGGGGGGGACAAAGGCTTAAAACAAAACTTCCCCTTTTGGGTGGAGCTCCACTTTAAAGTATAAAGGCAAAACATTTTAGTTTTGGATAGAGTGGAGAAGGATCTGAGCCCCTGTCAGGTTTTTATTGCTGTCTGTGCCCTCATTGGGGAGATTCACCCTCTCCATTTGTCCTATTTGCTGTTATTGAAAGAAAATTCTAAATTTTGGGTTGTCCCCAGAAAGGTAATAGAGGGGAAATCTTCCAAGGGGGACACTAGTTCTAGTCATCTGGGGGTCCCCAAGGGATTTCCTATTTTGGCTATGGGACAGGAAGCGTAGGGAAATCTCCCCAATGGGACACAGATGACAGAAAAAAAAAAATCATCTGACTGGTTACTCTATCAATAGTCCTACTTTAAGTCTGTATCCTCTATTTAAAACCTTACTGGGATGTGCTGGTTATACTGGGATGGACTGGTTATACTGGGATGGACTGGTTATACTGGGATGGACTGGTTACTGGGATGTGCTGCCATATTTATACTCTTTGTTGATATCTATGGCAGCCTCCTAACCAGGTCATCTTGGCATGTTTGGTTTCCAATAAGGGTTCAGACTTCACACAGCCTTTATTTTTCATGGAAGGTAAAGAGGCATCTGTGTATAAGCAAAAAAAACCAAAAACATCAGCTAGAAAGGCACCATTGCAAGTCCTTGTCAAGTTGCAGAGCGGTGAAGCTGATCCTTCTTTACTGACTCCAGAATGGTGCTCTCTACCAAGGATTTGCTACACTACAGTTTCCCTTATGATGAGCTGAGAAATATAAAGCACTGAATAGCGGCATTTGTGACAGGGGCACGGGGATGCATTTTTTTCTGGAGAATCGTCCTATCCCACTGGTATACATTGCCATTGGTTAGGTTGAATGCCGGTTAGGGCCAAATGGTGCCGCTGTTGAGCTTTACAGAGCAGAAGACTAACCAACAACACCAAGACACCTAAGGGTTCATTTACTAAAGGCAAATAGACTGCAGAGCTTAGTAAATGAGGGGAGGGTGCAGGCAAAATAAAAAAAAAAACTGCATTTAGCTCACACATGATTGGATAATGGAAATCAGCAGAACTTCCTAACATTTACTAAGCTCTGGAGCAGCTGCATCATTCAACAGTCTATGTCAGGGGTGTCAAACTGGCAGCCCTCCAGCTGTTGTGAAACTACAAATCCCATCATGCCTCTGCCTTTGAGAGTCATACTTGCAACTGTCAATCTTGCAATGCCTCATGGGACTTGTAGTTTGGCAACAGCTGGAGGGCCACCAATTTGACACCCGTAGTCTATGTGCCTTTAGTAAATTACCCCCCTTGCTTCCTCCAGTTTCTTATAGAACTAGCAAAGCTGAAATGACTGGAACTGGTGGAGAATTAGTTTTTTACCCTTCTAGTTTTCTGTCCCCTTGGCCTTCTGTCAGCAGATTTATTTTTTTTTTTCTTTCCATCAGCTTCTAAGGAGAACAGCAGCACCACCCACATGAATGAGTTGTGAAATGTTCTAATATTTAACGTGGTGGCAAAAAATAGCCATAGTCTGAGCTGTCTAGACACTAATGACTGGACACTGCTGAGGGTGTGGAACATGGGGTGGACTTCTTTGAGGATGACCTTTTTACCTTGTCTATCTTCGTTCCATCCTCTCTCATCCCTTCTTGAAGAGCCACCTTCTCCAATCCTCCCCTGGACACACATTGCTGACCTTGAAGGAGTGGAAAAGTTGAGCTGCACCTATTATCAGGGAGAAGATGGTTTTGGTAGAAGGAATGAGGGAGGTTAGAATGTCAGAGAACCTCAATATGAACCCGTAGCCAACATTTCTAGGTAAAGTGGGAGCTTTACGTATAGCCAGGAAAGTATTGTAAGAACATTTCAGAGCTTGCTTCAGACCAACTTTGATATATCTCCAAAGGGTCTACTCTTCCATATTTCTCCTCCTAATATAGATGGTCTCCTGCAGAGTCAATGGCCTCCCTCCCCAGCATCACATACTCTCCTTTCCTACACTCCATTCAGCTATCGGGAGCAAAGAAAGTACCCAGTAATTTGGGTATAGAGGATCATGTGACAGTACTTGGTGATTGGCCCAACACTGTCATACGGGGGCGGCTGGTGACCCTAGTCCTGTGTGAGCTCCTACAAAGGGCTCTCAGTGGCTGATCTTCATAGCGGGGGATTGTATAATGAAACTGCTGCTTTGTCCCAGGTCCCCTTCCCTCTTTCTCTAGTCTAGTGGTAGACATATTTGGGTTGATTTAGTAACACTGGAGAGTGCAAGATCTGGGGCAGCTGTGCATAGTAGCCAATCAGCTTCTAGATTGTTCAGTTAAAGGATAAGTTCACCTTTTGGACAAAAATAATGCAAATTATTTTGCAGGTAAACAACTGTGCATTGATTTATTTTTGTCCAAAAGAAGCCTGGAAACTCACCTGGAAGAAAAATGTATTTGAAATATATTTTAAAAAAAATATCCTTCTCAAATATATTGCCATATATTTGAAATGCTACAATTTTGACCATATGCAATAAATATATATATATATATATATATATATATATATATATATATATATATATATACACACACTGCATGTTGAAATGCGTTATTACAAAATATATGAAAAATATTTAAAAAAAATGCATTTCAAATATACTGTATGTCTTTAAAAATACAAATCTACATTTTTAGAATTAATGTAAAAATATATGTTAAAATGACTTTATATTTAAAAAAAAAAAAATCTGAAGAATTTATTTTAAAAACATTTTTTTTTAACATATAAAAAAGTCATTTTAAGAATATACTTAAAAATATATATTTTAAAAATATACTTCAGATTTTTTTTTTTAACATTTTTACAAATATTTAAAAATACAAATCTACATTTTTGCAATGCATTTACAAAGACATACAGTATATTTGAAATGGATTTTTAAAAATATTTTTCATATATATTGTACTAAAAAAGCATTTCAAATAAATATTTTTTTTTTTAATTGAAATATATTGAATACGGCCAAAATTGTAGCATTTCAAATATATGGTAATATATTTGGGAAGAATATTTTTAAAATCTATTTTAAATATATTTTTCTTCCATGTGGGATTGCTGAGGCCATGCAGGTATCCTGCAGACCTGTCAGAATATCTGCCTTCCTGTACGGGATGTACGAGCAAGCAGATATTCTGACAGGAAGCTTCAATGGATTACCTCGCAGCTCCACAGCACCGTGGTAGTTCACTGAAACCTACCTCTAAGGCCGTTGGGACTTGCAGTTCATTCATTCACGGAAGTCCAGGAATTAATGATGTGGCTTTGGGGGCGGAGCTGTTTTCAAATTTGACAGATAGTACAGGGAGACCTTTTCCCCATATTATCTTGGAGAGGGAGGGGGGCAGCTG